AAGGAGTGGGAGCTGTTTATGGACCCACCCCCATCCCAGATGGTCAGCCATCCCCTGAGAAAGGAGTAAAGTAGGAATTGGAGCTCACACTAAGGAGGTGATGAGATAAACAGGCAGCAACACAGAACGGAAGGCAGAGCCCAGAACATGCGAAGGGCAAGACCCCTGACCCGCCACAGCTAGAGCAGTGGCTCCAGGTGGGATTTGGGCTGAAAAGACTTGGGGTTGGTTGGGGGATCCCTGGTTTGTAGATGCCCTGGGCTTGGGTGAAGATTTCTCTGGGACTGCGGGTGGGGTGAAGATGGAGGTGCATGAAGGGAGGCAGAGGTCTGCTCTTTCCCACCCCTCCCTCATCTCAGGCTCTGTCACTGGGTGCTGTTTGCGGTGTCTGTGTCAGCATCTCCTGTCCCCCAGGCTGGGGACCGGTATGCCATCCAGGTTTGGTGGCGGGGCTGTCAGCTCCACAGGATGCATTTGTGTGTCTCATCAGGCATCACACCTCTGAAGGCTGCATAGCCTAAAGCACCCAGGGGTTCTCCTGACAGAAGGATAGGATTTGAAAATTCACACTAACCAGGTAATGGAAGAGCCCTTGCTTTGCCAAAGGAATCACAACAGATTTTCATTAAAAACACTGTATTCTCTACCTCTGCTGTAGGATGTCAATAGATGCGACAAGAAAAAAGGTCAGATACATCTGAGAGGGTTAAACAGGTTATTTTTACTGCAGTATGCCTCAGAGGCACTAGTGCCACAGTCATCAAATCCAAGAGACTCCCTTGAGTAGAAGATGATCAGGATTTGACATGTGACTAAGAAAGGAAATGTGTCCAAGTTGGGGAGTGTCACGGGGACCCTTCCGTGAAGCTGTGCCAGTGAAAGGCTGCAGTTGGTGCAGGAGAAGATGAGAAGTAAACCACCGCCAGAAAGGGACTGCACGGAGCCCTGTGGCCTCTGTCCTGGCCATGGTGGAGTCAGGGAGGAATCCTGACCCTTTGAACAGTCAGCCAGTTCTCAGCTGGGGCCACACCACCCACGTGGTCCCCAAGGGGTTTCAGGAACTGTGCCCCAGATCACTGGTGGGAGCAAACAGAAATTTACTCGGGATGATCTCAATTTCAGTCCAGGCCAGTGGTGATCACAAAACGCCATCTGTGAGGTTTCCAGGATGTTAAAATGCGAGGAAATGTGCAACGAGGCCTGGTGGAGGACAGGACATTTCCATGCCCCACTGGAGGCTCTTGGTGCCCGGCAGCAGTGGTCACCATTTGTTCAGTGCAAACTTGGTGCCAGGCTGGGCGAGGGACTTGGCCCACTTCAGCTTTGACTGGCCGTGCAGCTCTTGTGTGGAGACAGCATCATCACTGCCATTTCTGGCAGAGGGTACTGGAGAACTCTGCCTGGGGCTGCACAGAGCAGGGGCGAAGGTCTGCTGAGGGCTTGCTCTTCCCTTAGATCAGACATTCTGTGGGGGCCACCCCGACTTGCCAAATGGAGCACATGTCCAGAAATGCAATTTTTCAGTCAAATGCCTGTTGCCTAAATGGAGGCAGTTTCTGGATCAAATTCTGTTCCAGCACACCCCAGTGGCTATGTGAAGTCGTCTTCTATTCAGTGGTCTGGGGAGTACTGGGCATCTCACGGCCGCAGCTGTGTAAGCCTGCACTTGTGTAAAGGGGTCAGCCTTTGTGTAAAGTAATATCCACCAGCGATGCTCCCACCTCTGTTCTGATTTGAGAAGATGCTGGCATAAATATCACGTTGTCATATTAGCATTTGCTAAAACTTCTGAAGGGACTTCCCTGGTAGTCCACCACTGGTTAGCCCAGTGCCACTGCAAGGGGTGCATGTTCAATCCCTGATGGGGGAACTAAGACTCCCACATGCTGCACAGTGCACTCAAAAAGTAATTTAAAAAAAACAAAACAACTTCTGAAAAATGTCCTGGTTCCAGTCACCTTTCTGGTCCATGTTCTATCCACCTGTAGGACTGCTGACCTCCCCATCCCTGCAGAGCTGTGCAACCCCCAAGGGTAGTCTGGAGAGCTGAAGCTAGAGTGAGTGGGAAACCCCCTTCCTGCAGGAGGATGAGCCAAGTTGCATTCCAGGTCCCATCACTGAGCAGAGGGCTAGACTTCTGTGATTGAGCCATCCTGTCACCATGAAATCAACAGGAAGTCACAGGAGGCACTATGATTTGGGATGTCCATTTTGGGAAGCTGGTCTGCCTACCACATTGAAGCCAAGATATTGTCCAGGCACGTCCACAATAAATGGGAAGTTTAGCCCTAAATGAGCAGATGTTAACAAATTCTGATCCCTCCAAATAAAAATTCAGATGAATTTTAGTCTACTCTCAGCTCAGTGGGCTGAATCCCTTAATCTACTAAATTGTTATGAAAAAACCCTTATCTCTGTCTGTCAAAATCACAGCTGTCATGGGGTGCACTCTTGGGAGGCATGAGCTGCCTCATAATAACTTAGATTTTGTGCAGTGTAGCCTTAGCGTGAAGAAAGTCACACACCTTTTTTCATGTTTTCTTTTTTATTGTGGTAAAAGTCACATAATATAAAACACACTGTTTTAACCATATATATGGTGAATAAACTCGGTGGTACTAAGGACATTCACATAGTTATGCAACTCTCACCATCATCAGTCTCCCAAATTTTCCACCTTCCTGAACTGAAACTCGGTCCCCATTAAACACTAACGCCCTGCCCCATCCCCCTCCCCACACCCGCCCCCCCAACCCCCCATCCTTGGCATCTACCAGTGTACTTTCTGTCTCTATGAAATTGACTATTCTAAATACTTTGTATAAAAGAAATCAAACAGTATTTGTCTGTACCTAATGTATATTGGAATGCATTTTTAAGGTTAACTTAATAATGTCCTGCAAACAGATTGTGCCTTTTTTTCCCCCTGTGCTAAACAGTAGCTTCTCATTAGTTATCTATTTTATACATGGAGGATTGTATATGTCAATTCTCATCTTCCAATTCATCCCACTCCCTCCTATCCCCCCTTGGTATCAATACGTTGGTTCTCTACCTGTGTCTCTATTTCTGCTCTGGAAATAGGTTCACCTGTATTATTTTCTGGATTCCACATATATGTATTAGCATATGATATTTGTTTTTCTCTTTCTGACTTACTTCACTCTGTTTGACGGCTTTTAGGTCCACCCGGAGGGTCACAGACTTGAAGGAGAACAACACAGGGTCCAGGCCAGGGCCTGGTGACAGTCTGGCCAACAGGGGCCAGAAGGGGACAGGTATATTGCTGGTAAGTGACAGTGACGCTCCTCTGTGGGCAGCCAGGGTGGCATTGGGAGGAGGTGGGCTGCGGGTTCTGGCTTTGCCTCTGCCCCTTTGGGTGGTATGATCTGCCACAGGGCAATCCCACCTGCCTTCGGGTCTCCTGCCTCTCGGGTGGGCAGGGCAAGGCTGTCTGCAGGTGGGGAAGAAGGGGTCTGCATTCTGCCTGGTGGGGCAAGCCCGGGGAGCTGAGCCCGCTTGGCAGGGGAGGAAAGGGAGGACAGACTGCATTTAGTGCAGAAAAGAGGAGAAGGTGTGGGGAATCAATTCCAGGTTCCAAAAGGGGCCCCTGGCAGGAGATCGCGTGAGCAGGAGTTCGGCTGGTCCCTGTCGGGCCTCCCATGCTCCCACCTCCACTGGGGTGACTCATGCCTGCAGAAAGGGTGAATCATGTGGGTTACGAAACTAAAGGGCTCCTGAGAGGGAGGCTGAAGAGGTCCCAGGGAGGCCATCATCCTTGGGTTCTGCTCTGTCCCCGCCGGCTCCTGCCCCTCATCACCTGCTTTCTACCTGCCAAGCCACAGACGCACACCCTGAACTCTCTACAGCCATCCAGAGGCAGACAGTCAGGTCACTGGTCCCCTTCCCACTTAAAGGCCTTCCTGGCCTAGTTTCTGCTTTGCTGCCAGTGTTAATCAGGGTGAAGCCTTGTTTCCCATGCGTGGCCAGTTGGGACCAATAGCCCTTGGGAGGAGTGGCAGAAGAGACCCTGGCCAGTCACCCGTCCCGTGTGTGACACTGCTGTAGCTCTCCAGGTTCGCCAAATGTGTCTCTACTGGACTTTAGGCTGCTGGAGGCAGCAGAGCCAGGAAGACCCCACTGACTGTCCCCCTGACTGGTCCCAGGGTCCGGCGATGGGGGTGGGGTGGCATTTAAGTCTGTACAACTAGTGATCTCCTACTGCGAGGCAGGCCAGAGCTCATACACTCAGCAAAAGCTGGTGCATGGCTAGCGCTCCTGTCATCCTCTGAACAGCGCCACCGGGGAGATGACTGTTGTCACTGCACTCATGGATGGAGCCCTGTGCTGAGAAGGGGTGGCAGCTTGCCCACGGTCGCGCTGCTGGGAAATGGACAGTTGGGGACCCACAGCGCCGTCCTCCCCCGGGAAGGCTATCCCCGAGGTTCCCCCCGAAGCCAAATGTCTCTGGCCCCCTTGCTATGTCCTACTGTCAGGCCTGGTTCTCAGTGGGGCCGACCCGTCTTTCCTGTGGTTTCTTCTCCCAAGACTCAGGCGAGCCGCGCTCTCAAGCGGGGACGAGTAAGGCTTTGCACGCAGGTCAAACACTATTAGGCGAATGACTGAGGCCCCCAGGCACCCCGACGGGAGGAAGATGCCGGCAGACAGGCTGGGAGTGGGACTCACCTGAGACGCCCTGGGCCTTCCGGCCGCTGGGGGAACGCGTGTCCCGAGCGCCCCCTTAGTCTGCGGGAAGTTACGGGGTGACGGGGGGAGCTCTTTGCCCGGGGCGCGCGAGGACCGGGTGCCGGTCACCGAGCGCGGGCCAGGGCGCTGCCGGGCCGCGCGGGCGGGAACGCGCGGCGGCCGCCTCCTCCTCCCCTTGCTCCCGCCCGCAGCGGCGGCGGCGGCGCTTCCCCGGCGCGGAGCGGCTTTAAAAGGCGGCACCCCACCCCCCCGGCGCACTCGCCGCTCCGGCGCCGCGCGAGCCTGCCACTGCCATGCCTCCGCGCGCGCCGCCCGCGCCCGGGCCCCGGCCGCCGCCCCGCGCCCCCGCCGCCGCCGGGGACGCGGGCCCCGACCCGAGGGCCGCCGGCGGGCCCGGGCTCCGGCCGCTCGCGCCGCGCCCTTGGCGCTGGCTGCTGCTGTTCGCGCTGCCCGCCGCCTGCTCCGCGCCGCCGCCGCGCCCCGTCTACACCAACCACTGGGCGGTGCAAGTCCTGGGCGGCCCGGCCGTGGCGGACCGCGTGGCCGCGGCACACGGCTACCTCAACTTGGGCCAGGTGAGTGCGGACTGCCCCGCGTGCCCAAAACTTTGGCTGCCGCCGGCGGGCGCGGCGCGAGGGGGCGCCCTGTGAGGAGTCGCCCGGAGCGCGGCGCGGGGTCCTCGGCGGCCAACGGGGCAGCACCCCGACGCGGACACCTGCCCAGCCGCGCGAGTGGGGAGCCCGTGGAGGGCGCCGTCCTCCCGTGTCCCCTCAGGTCCACCCGCCGCCGACCCGGCCCTTCGGCGCCGGCCCTCCAACTGGCGGCGCGGGGCTCCGGACCTTGTACGCGCGCAGGTGGGGGCTGAGGTCGTGCGCTCCCTTGGCGTCCGCGTCTCTTGGAGGGAGGGCAGCCAGAGTCGAGGGGGCTTTCCGGGCGGCCTGGACCCCGCAGCCAGAGGCGAGGGTCCAGGCTTTAATCTCCTCCAGGCCCCCGACAGGGGTCGGGGGAGTTGGCTTCGTCTCTGGGCCTCTGGTTGGCGGGTCTGATGGCAGTTCTCTGCGGACCGGTCGTGTGACCTTAGGCTGGTCTCTTCCTTCTTTTCCACCCGCCCACGTGTCGGGACGTTGACCTTGTGTACTTGGGTGCGCGGTGGTTGGGATGGGACGGTCCAGTGTTTTGGGCCGCAGAGCACCTGCCGGGGCCTGGCCACTCCCGCACCTGGCCCGCAGGAGTGCTGTCAGCGAGCAAGAGGGGACAAGCCCGGGGCAGGACCGCGGGTGGGGTAGCTCCATAGGAGCTCAGAGGCAGGCTTCCTTTTCCTGCGCCAACCCAGCCCAGCGAGTTGATCCTGATCTATGGCGGGTGGGGGCCCACCGGGGGACCTCTCTGTGCGTTGAGCAAACCTCCAGCAAACTTAGAGGATCAAGTGGAGTGACAGGGACGCGCCCGCTCAAAGCTCAGACCCTGCCGCCAGCCAGCGTTAAATTTAGTTTCATCATTAACCGTGACAGAAGCGGGCCACATCTGGTGCGGCTCTGATGTGAGTGACATTTCTTTGCCTCCTAAGCCCAGTGCGAACGCTACTAAGGTGAGTTGTGCAGCCTTCTGGAAACGTAGATCCTGCTGTCTGAACTATACTTCACACTGTGGGTCGGAGAGTGTCTGAAATAACCCATCACATCCTGGGTGTGTCTTTTTGTTGTATCTTGAACACTCAGGTCTCTGCAAACATCCTGTGATTTAAGATTTGCCTTTGGGCAGCACTGGCTTCAGTTCCTAAATCTGAGGTTCCTAAATCTCCCAGGTTCACAGTCCAGATGAAGAAAGTACTTCTTGGTGCCCCTCTGGCGCCTGCTTCCCCTGTTGGCTCAGGCCCGGCTCCTGCCACACTTGGCTGCTCCGCCCAGGTGGCCCGGCAGTTTGTCTTCAGCTAAAAGTGACTCTTTAATGGCCCAGTAAATTACAAAGTGCCTGGGTTCCTGGCTCTTATAATTAAGTGAACAGAGGGGAACTGAAGTTGAGCGGAAAGCTCCCGAACATTGCAGTAAAGGCCTGGTGAGGCCCCTTACCACTCCTGTCCTCAGGCATCAGAGCCGCCAGCCTCATGACCATGCCCCATCTTCAAACAACTTGCATCCCACTACTGAGGGTCTTGTGCGGTGAAGCCTGCTGTCTTTGCTTTGCCTGTGGGAGAGGTTTCATTGGGGTGTGCACCCTTCCCCCTGGATCTCCTGGGGAGTGTCCAGGGCAGCCGAGGTGGGCTGCACACAGCCTGGCACTCAGCCTGGGCATGGGATGCTGCTGGGACTGATGCAGGAGGCGGTCACACACCCAGGGGATAAGAGCTGTCTTGGAGGTGAGTGTGTGTGTGTGTGTACACGTGTGTGCGTGATTTCTAAAGGAGGGCCTGTTACCCTTTATTCCCAATGCAGCTTTCCTCCCCACCTCCCCCAAGTGCACTGCTAATGTGGAAAAGGCCTGGAGCAGTCCGGCCTCTACCTACTCAATAAGAACTCTTTAAAAACCTTATTTGCCTTCTTCAGCCAGGAGAATTTGTGACTCATAAATAAGATGTATATATTATTAGCTTTGATTTATGGGTGAGTGAGCCATGGTGAAGCGAGGGCTGGGAGGGGTTTGTGTCCACACGGCAGAGTGTGTCACCTCTGATGGTTGTGCTATGCATTGTCTCCTTCCATGTTCCCGGCTCCCAGTTTTCCTGCGAGTGACCTTCCCTAGACCCTTAGTGGGCAGCTGGTGTTGTGCCCGGCGCCGGCCCTGACTCTTCATCCTGGTCTTTGCTGTGCTCAAGCCCTGACTTGACCTACATACAACCATGGACCTGACCCCATTTATCTTGTGTGGTGCAGGTCAAATGATACCAGTGGTTATTCCCCTGTCTTGAATCATGGATCCCTTTCAGAGTCTGATAGAGGCTCTGGATCCTCTCCATTTAAAAATATACATCATTGGAAACAGGACAAATAAGTTTCTTTTGGCCCCTCAACTCATTATATTATACTGGACATCCAAGATAATGCAACACAGTTTACAAAAAAGGAATAAAGATTGGGAAGAGCCAAATGTCACTCTTGACAGATGACAAAATTAACCACACAGATAATCCAAGAGAACCTAGAGACCAACTATTAGAACTAAGAAGAGAGAGAAGTGGGGACTTGATTGACAAGAGACCCCTGATGATGGCCACAGCTGCGAGGACAGCATAAGAGCTGTTAGATACTTAGGAATCAATCCTAGAGAAGTATCAGACTCCTGTGGAGAGGATTATAAAACATTGTAAAAAAGTGTTGGGAAAAAGAAGGCAAGAATGATGGAGAGATAGATTACATTCATGATGGGAGAGGTGACTGTCACAAGTCCCCTCAACTAATGTGTAAATTCATTATAAGCTAGTTTTAGTGTGAGTAGGTTTTTATATGGAATATGAAATCACACAAATACCATAGGTGACTCTGAGAAGGAAGCTGGGGAGGGCATTGTCTGCCACCACGAGCCTTGGTGGTCATGGCAGCTCTGCCATGGCCTGGTGATGGTCGTGTCCATTGGTGACATTGACTCCAGCCCAGGTATATGTGGGAGCTTGTGTGTGAGCCAAAGAGGTTCTTGTGGATGGGAGGGCTGGGCAGTATAGGACATGGTGCTGAGAGAGCCAGGTCTCCACGGGGAAGGGCTGCAGACCTTCACCTCCCACTCTGTATGGGAACTCCAGATAGGACGAGAGCCTGAGTGCATATTGCTGGGGAAGACCTTCATCACATCAGCAAAGGAGAGGATTTGTTTGTAACTTATTTTACTGAAGTATAGTTGAATTACATATTGTGTCAATTTCAAAGTGATTCAGTTGTACATACATAAATATTGTTTTTTATATTCTTCATTCACAGGATATTGAATATAGTTCCCTGTGGTATATAGTAGGACCTTGTTGTTTATCCATCCTATAGATAATGATTGGCATCTGCTAACCCCAAACACCAGTCCATCCTTCCCCCACCATGCCTCTTCTTGGTAACCCCAAGTCTGTTCTCTGTGTCTGTGAGTCTGTTTTTATTTCGTAGGTAAGTTGATTTGTGTCATATTTTAGATCGCACCTTCATTCTTTTTTGTGGCTGAGTAATATTCCATTGTATGCTATTTCATTGCTAAGTCATATCCAACTCTTTGCAACCCTGTGGACGGTAGCGTGCCAAGCTCCTCTGTTCATGGGATTTCTCAGGTAAGAAATTTGGAGTGGGGTGCCATTTCCTTCTCCTTTGTATATATGTGCCACATTTTCTTTATCTGTTTGGCTGTTGATGGACATTTAGGTTGCTTTCACGACTTGGCTATTGTGAATAGTGCTGCCATGAACATAGGGCTGCATGTATATTTTGAATTATAGTTTTGTCTGGATATATGCCCAGGAGTGGAATTGCAGGGTCATATGGTAGCTCTATTTTTAGTTTTTTGAAGACTATTCATACTGTGCTCCATAATAGCTACACCTATTTTCATTCTAACCAACAGTGTAGGAGAGTTGAGAAAGGAAAGAATTTCTTAAACAAGACACAGAAAGATCAAATAGAGAAGGGAAGAGATTGATCCATTAAGGGTTCTGTATAATAAAGGTGTCATAGCATTTAAAAAACAAATTTAAAAAAATAAAAATAAATAATAAAAAAAACAAGAGAGTAGGAAGTATTTATAACATATAATAGTATTTTATAACATATAATAGATTCATGTGTAGATTATTTAAAAGACTGTAAATGAATAATGGAGAGGGAAATGGCAACCCACTCCAGTATTCTTGCCTGGAGAATCCCATGAATAGAGGAGCCTGGTGGGCCACAGTCCATGGGGTTGCAAAGAGTTGGACATGACTGAGCAACTAACACACATAAATAAATAAGAAAAAGGATAAGTGCCAGGTAGAAAAAATGGGGAGGTATATATGAATAGGGAATTGAATGAAAGGGAAACCCAGGTGAGAAAAAGTGCTCAGCCTCCCTAGGAACTGATGGGCCTTCAGGTGGTCATCCCACTTCACGCCTGTGGGGTTGGCAGATCGAGATGGTGTCAGCATCAAGGGCTGCCTGGGCTGCAGAGGAGCCAGGAATTGAAAGTGGGTACAGCCGCTTGGAGAGCGACAGGAGGTGGGTTGTGTCAGCATGTCCACATCCTGGCTTCAGCCTGGGAGATCCTCACTGCTGCCCCAGGAGACTTGTACAGAAGTGTCCACAGGGGCATCTCTAAATGAAGGGAGACACCACCTAAATACCACCAGGAGAAGGATGGAGGAGAAAAGTTGTCACACCACAGGATACTCAACAGTACTTAGAAAAGAGAGAACTAGCTGTGTATCTACACAGATACATCCCAGAAATAATGTTGAGTGAAAACGGCAGATTGCAGATGCACAGTGTATTTATGTAAATTTTTAAAAAACATTAAGCCATTCTGTAGAACTTATGAATGCTTACACAGGTAGTGAAAGTATAGAAGCATGGGCTGGAAGGATCCACATCAAATTCTAGTTAGTAGAATTTCAAACTTTATCTGCAATGTTCTA